TACATCAGCGTATACACCTCCGCTGCCACCCATGCTACGCATTTCGTCACTCCAGGGCTACTGCATCAGCAGTTCACTCGAACTCTATTTGTCAGCAACTCACGTCATTTATGTACCCTCTGGGAAAGTTTGTGTTGGTGATCCAGGATATCCCAAGATTACTTATCAATGGTTTTGGCACTATTTACACTAATTCCCTTACGTGTGTTTTATTACGCTTTTTATCAGGTCAACGTCATACTTGACTTGAATTTGTATACACTTTTGCAACTTACTCCCACCTGGCTGACGTGATTAAAGCTCTCTACAAGGGCTCTGGTCTCGTTCTTGCATTAGTATGTGAAGTTCGGTGCTAACTTCAGCAAGGGATCCGATACCGTTTTTTGAGTCGTTTTCTCTTTGTTACGGGCAAACTTTCCAAATTTTGGCGATGCTGGTGAGATGGGTGACAAAGGGATGGAACAATTACTAGAGCGGCTAGTTTCGATGCTTGCAGATCGCCAATCGCCTCAGGCCGCTCCTGACAGTACGCCGTCAATTGACGGCCCCACCAACAGTATCTCGGAGTTCTCCTGCGATCCGGAGAATGGCATAACGTTCAAGTCCTGGTATTGGCGTTACGAAAACCTGCTCCGGGCCGATCTTGCGTCCCAGGACGACGCGTGAATGATCAGACTCCTTCCTCGCAAGCTGGGTCCCGAAGAACTGAAGAGATACACGGACACGACCCTCCTCAAGTTCTCGCTTGACTTCGATTTTGGAGAAACCGTTCAAAATCTCAAGCGGATGCTAGGAGAACGCACCTCCCTGTTCATCAAACAGTACCGAGGCCTCAAACTCTTTATAGGTGAGTTTGACGACTTCCTTGACCATCTAGCAGGGGTCAATCGACAGTCTGAGAAAGGTCAGTTCAAATCGATGACTGATGACCAACTCAAAACTCTCATTCTCATTTACAGCCTTCGAATCCCTAAGTACATGGGTCTGCAAACGCGGCTGCTACACCTGATTGATCAAAATCCCCCTGTGACTCCGGACGATATCCGCGATGAATACCTACGCTGGAGCAGCGTGCTGCATGATTTCAAAATAGCCCAAGCTGAGAGCCGCAGTGCTCCCGAGGTTAAGGCGGTTTGACGCATTCAAAAACCACCTTCCATTTCTGGCCCTTCCAGCCCACGTTTGCAAAAGTCGGACCGAGAATCAGCCGACACAATTCGTTGAAGGCGAACAAGGGAAAACCCTCCTTTCGCGTGCGGGCACTGTGGAGCCTGGCATTATGTCAAGTTCTGTCCTTACAAGCTGCAAAGATGCCTGAAATGTAAGGTCATGGGTTACACGGACGGATTCTGCCAATCGTCCCCGTCTAACAGGAGTGGACGGCACCTCTACCTCCACACAAAGAAAAGATCAAAAGCCAAACCAACACCACCATCGCATCTCTCAGCCTACGGGTCACCTTCGACGACACTCTACAACAGCAGAGGATGTATACAACTGTCCTCATCAATGTCCATCCAGTTTGTCTGCAGGTAGACACAGCCTCGGATGTTACCATCATCTCGGAGAACCAATGGCGCTCCCTCGGTCGGCCTCCCCTCAAAACCACCTCTCAAACGGTAATCTGTGCATGCAGCGGAGAAATTCACTTCCGCGGCAAATGTAATGCTGCATCTCCTTCCACGGAACAACCTTTAGTGGTAAGTGTTGTCATCAACGCCAATTTGAATCTCCATGGTCTGGATTGGTTCGAACAATTGGGTTTGGCCGATATCGCGATCTGCTCTATCTGCAATACCCTAAGCTTGTCCAAAACACCCGGCGAAAATACCGCGGACGTCATCAACCAGTTCACCACGGTTTTTCAACCTTGATTGGAACACTGCTCTACGACACAGACCACTCTCCGCCTTATGCTGGAGGCCAAACCGGTCTTTCGTCAAAAAAACACCGGTCCCATGCGCATCGTCACCGCTGGTTGACGCTGAGTTAGAACGTCTTGAACACGAAGACGTCCTATACCCGGTCTCATTCTCAGCCTGGTCAGCCCCAATTGTTGTTGTAAAGAAGGACAATTGTTCAATCCGGATATGTGCAGACTTCTCCACTGGTCTAAATGCTGATTTGGAAACACACTACTATCCTCTACCAGCCCCAGAGGACCTATTCACAATTCTGAGTGGCGGAAGATCCTTCGCAAAACTCCACCTGGCCGATGCCCTACCTACAACAAGACGTCGCTCCATGTTCCCGTCCACTGCTGTCCATCAATGCTCATCGTGGCTTATTCCAATAAAACCATCTACCATTTGGTGTCAAGACCATTCCTGCTATTTTCCAGCAATTCATGGACATTAGCTTGGCTGGAGTGGCAGTATATCTCGACGATCTACTAATCGTAGCTGGATCGCGAGATGAGCTACGCAAGCGGATCCAGGAAATGCTTCTGCGGATTCAAGACAACGGGCTCAGACCTCGCTAATAAAAATGCGAGTTCTTCTTGACTTCGAGCAAATATCTGGGTTTTATCTTTAACGACTCTGGCCGGCATCCGGATTCTGAGAATATCCGCGCTATTCAACAAATGCCGACTCCCAAAGATGTTCCCTCACTGCGCTCCTTCCTGGGACTAATCAGCTATTACTCGGCTTTTCTACCTTCCATACACGATGTCCGACCATCACTGAATCACTTGCTGCGAAAGGACGTTCCTTGGGTTTGGTCCAACGAGTGCGAGGCGGCCTTCTGTCAACACAAGTCAATGCTCAGTTCGGACCTGCTGCTGACCCATTATGATCCAAGTCTACCAATTGTTGCTGCAGCTTACGCCTCCGCCAAGGGCACTGGAGCCGTCATCGTCCACGTCTTTCTTGACGGCACAGAAAATGCCATAATCCACGCCTCCAGGTCGCCAACAAAGACAGAACAGCGTCACAGACAGATTGAGAATAATGCTATTGCTTTGATTTTTGCCATCCGCCGTTTCCACAAACCTCATTTGTAGGCAATGATTCACTCTGCTGACAGACCACAGGCAGTTGCTGTCAATTTTTGGATCAAAACAGGCATCCTAGTTCAATCCGCAAACCTCCTGCAAAGGTGGGCACTTATTCTAATGGGCCATGACTCTATTAGTCAACGATTCACATCATTTATGTCCCTTCTGGGAACGTTTGGCAATTTTATGACAACGAATGACAAAACATTGCTTTCTTGAACCATCTGTTACCCATCGCCTGCGATGCCTCCTTTCTTCTTAATCTTCCAAAATGTTTCCTTTGTAATAAAGCCTATACATTGTGGCAGATTGATGTCGTTCGACATTCCCACCGGGCCCTTACATTGCGCTGTAACCTGTCCGATTTGCTCTCACACAGACACTTATTTCCTCGCACAGTCTATGTCTGAAACATCGCCGACTTTCAGGAATGAGATCTTTACTATAAGTTCTTGAAAGTGGTCAACAGTTGTAGTCGAACATTTGATGATTTTAATCAGGTAATTCGGTCGATCATTTCGTACTGCTTATCTACCTTACAACACCTGTTTGCACAAATAGTAAAAAAAAATACCTCAAGCTCTATTGCAGGGTTTTGAAGTGCATTAAGTGTCCTGCATCAAACGATTGTGAAGGGCACATGTTTCACAATTGCTAAGCCCACTTTGATTCATCTAGCTCCAGTAAATTATATTAACAGTCGTGTGCAGCGTTTGCAATTATACGCAGAAACAGCAAATTCTTTTACAGGGGAAGCGATACCAGTAGTAACACTACATGGAAATGCGTGCACAGCAAGCATCCTTGGGCTTCCTGGTCCGTTCAAGTAAGAAGAACCGTGCTGCTAACCCTTCATTCCTGGACGAGCAAAGGGCAAGGACGGGATTAGAAAGTGCTGCATTAACGAAAAGAGCACGATCCGCATAACCTATTGTCTAACTAACTGCAATCGACCTTATTTATATTGAGCATTCCAAATGCCAAATATAGGGATTAGCACAGGTAACGACTTGACTTGAGGTTGACGTTAAGATTCTGCATTAAAATAGGAAAAAGTGGCTTACGCGTTTGCACCTCAGGGGCCATGTATAAAACAGTGCCCTGGTCTACGGAATGCATTTCCTCCGTTCCCGCCCCGAAGACCTTCGAAGTTCCGAAATCGGTAATTTTAAGTGTTGTGCACCCATCATACAGAAGCATATTACCAGGCTTTAAGTCCCGATGAATGATGGGCTCTTTTCGTGAGTGTAGGTATTGCAATCCATCTGCCAGATGCAAGTTCCACAACATTACGTGCCAAAATGTGTATTTCACATCTGAATGTATAACTAAAGGTCAACAAAAAATGATGGCTTATAAAGGCACCGTCGTTTGTCCCTTTCACCTTATCTTTGCTTCATATTTCAATTTCGCCAAGCAACTTCAATTTTATGCACTTCTTATCCTCCAAATCAACCACACACTCATCTGTACATAAAGTAAACTTGACAATATCTAAGCACTTCACACTTCAGTGGAATAACTAACCAAAAGCTGAGCAGATATTTCTTCTTGCGAAGGCTTAATAACTCCACACAAATTATTCCTT